AGAAGTGAGAATCATTTGTATTTTGAGTTGCAATTTATTATCATATACATTTTGAACAAGTATTTAGAATGACCAAAGCTCACCTGTTTGTTGCTTTTGCTAAACTTGATTTTTGCCCCTTTCTTTTTAGTATTGTATATATTTCTCTTTTTCAAGTTCATGTCCTCTCAGATAAATCTTTAACTCTTGTTCCATGTACTTGTTGGCAGCAGGATGCTAGCATCTGTATAGTCCTCGTCCTGTTTCCTGGTAACCCATGTTCATTTTCATGGCTGACCTAAACTGAGACCCTGCCTTGACCTGGCAGCAGGTTTTTCCAAACCACAGTCCTGATACAGCTTATTTCATGCAAACTGTATATTCCTGCATTGTTTCCTTTGTGACTCAAGGTTGAATGAAAATGCCTGTGAACTGCAAACTTGCTTATGATTGACTTGGTGCAATAAATTTCCTTTCTAACCATTTCTGGTTTAGAAAACATTCAGCCATCCTAGAAACTGGCAATATTTATTTATGCCTCATTTATTTTACCTTCGGTTTTAGATGTGGGAACCTTAGTCTTTCACTTATGGGTACTAAGCAAGGTCCATTTTTGTGTAGCTGAAGAGCGTGCATATTTGGCTACACTTTTTCTGTTTACTATATTTTGCTTCCAACTTAATGTTTAAATACTATTGTTTTTGTTTAAAACCTCAGTCAGTAGTACGTCAGTTTCTGAGAACTAAGGTTTTGCTACTAGTGTCAGCCATTTTACTCTCCCACTAATTGAGATTTCCCTACTAATTGGTTTTTTCCCCCCTGAAATAATAAGTTTTAGAAAAATCTTAGAAGAGGGGTGGGTGCATGTCTTAATGCTGGGAAACAGCAACTTTGGGGTTGAATTTACTTGAATGGATTAAAAATTGCATTGTTACAGAGCTAGAAAAAAAATTTAAGTATGAGAAATGGTAATAGCCTTACACTGAGTACAAATAATACTTAAAAGCATGTGAAGATGTGATCACTTGTGATGTTACTTGTAAAAAATATATATATACATATCTTTTGAAGTGTTGAAAGGAAAATAGTACTTTATATTCTTTATCATATCACTTTTTGTAAGTGTTGAATATATTCCTGTTTATTTTTCTATGTTCTGTTTTGTAGCCTTAAGAAGTGTTTCAAACATTTGAATGTATCAAATAAGAGTAAATGCCCTACATGGTGTGATGCTGCATTATATATAAAACTGTGTGCATATATTAAATTTTGTCTCTTGATTCTGCTTGTGATTCTTTGGTTCCAAAGTTAACCAAGTATAATACAGTATTTAGTAAACTTCTAAAAGTAGTTTTTATCCAGTCAGAAGATAATTCTAGTATGTACAACGAAAAATTACGGATTTATAAACGATGGGATAGGTACTGTTTCCCCTACTTTTTATATATATATATAT